AAACGTATCACTTTGATAAAAGGGGAAAATGATATACATTGATGCATTATCCATTACTTCTTAGATTATTAACTTTTATAGATGGTATAAAATATTTTTTACATATCAAATCAGCTTACAAATCACAAAAATCAGAAAAAATAATAGATATGAATCTATAAATTTAAGGATATAACGGATTCTATATTAAAAATATAAAAGTAAAAATCTTGAATGCAACTCGATTCATGGAAAACTGGTAATGCATATGTACCATGTGAAATGAACAAGAGAGAATAATAAAAAGTTAGGTCACTTGTATAGTGGATGATGATGACATGAATATACATGTAAAGGGAAAAACAAGTTGACGATCACAATGTCTCTTTTTGAAACAAACAAAACCAACAACTACAACTTCTTCACAAAGATATCCAGTATAATGTTGCTTATTGGTGGGCAAATTTTATCCAAAAATATTACATGTCAACTCTTTGATGGCAACAACCCATTATAAAAAAAAAAAGGTTTCTGAGTTATCGAATAAAGTGGATGGAAATAAAGTTATATTAGAAAGAATTTTTTTTTGACAATTATTGTTTGGATAAAAAAGATAATTATGAGATTGGGCTAACTGCTGTTTGTTTATCTTTATAGAGCCAGCTTAGAGATATGGCCCAAATGATCCTTTTATTTTCTATAAGTTTCGATTATTGATTGAGAAATACTATAGGTATTAATTACTTAATGAAATGATAGTTTCAATAATTACGTATAAGTTGTCCAATATTACTTTTGTATTATAATGTCTGACACGCTATGCAATTGTATTTAAGATACACTGTTTTACTCATTATTTCCTCTTTATATCTGCGTTTCACAATTTAACATATCAGTGTATCTAATAACAAATTTTACGAGTGTATCCAATAAAATATGAAAAAATGTATCTTATTATATATACCTAAGCTTGTATCAAATTCTACGAGTCTATCTATGAGTTTAATATCAATTTGAGAGCACGTATCTGGTTTTTATGAATTCGGCATCAAATATCTAGTGTATCTTTACAGTATATTGATCATGCATAGATACATTCACATTAAGAAGAAGATAAGAGATAACCATATGTATCTCTTCAAATATATATGCAGTGTATTTGTGTCTAAATACATACTTTATCAGCCCATTATACTTATTATATGAGACCCTTGCTGACTCTATCACCAGCCATACAAACCTTATTTCAAATTTTCCACCTATCCAAGAAATCCCACCTCAGACACACATGATAATTATAAGTTTTTTTTCACAAGAACGTCGATGAGAATGGAGAGAGATAGGGAGGAAAAAGACGAGCGAACAGTAGTGACATATTTTAGGAGAATAAAAATGTTGGATAGACTTCGTAATTTTTAAAAATTATAACTAAATTGAGTAAATATTCTTGTTAGGTTGCTTAATTATGTAATTTTTTCTTTATTAATTCCTTTTCATCATTTGCATTTATTTTATTTCTTCAGCGTTAATTAGTAAGCAGTACTTTGTAATTTTTTAAAGTAAAGTTAGTTAATAATCCAAATATAGTTTTTTTTTAGTGTGCTCTGTAGGAAGAAAAATAAGTCAGTTTCTTTTTGTTTGTTTGTTACGTAACCAAAAAATATTTTTAATAAACATATTTGTATATAATCAATAATAATCTAGACAAATATTATGAGAGTTGGGGGTGGAGATGGTGGGAATCAAGATACATGAGCAAGAGTGAAAATAAAGCGTGTTGGAGGTGGAGAGGACACAATCAATGTGGAATAACACTCATAGAGAAGTCATTTTCCTTCTTTTTTTTTTTTAATGAGCTTGTTTTCCTAAAAAAAATGTTTTTCAATTTTTTTGACCAATCAAACAGAGAAAATTGGAAAACGGGAAATCTTAAAGGCTCAGTTGGTTGACTACCTAAACTTTCACCTTGTTGACAAGAATACGATTCTTATCCTCTCCCCCATTTCCCATCCCCTACCCTCAATTCTTAAAAAAAGATATTAAAAAAATATCTTCTTCCATACCGAACACACCCTTTATTCTTTTTCTTTTTATTCTGTAAGAGGATACAGTACCATCGATCAGGTGTTTGTGTTTTGGAAATATGTGATAAAGTCGTGGTAAATATTGTACTCGAATATTTTCGATGTTACGGTCAAACAACAAAAGCTACATATTATTCCCAGGAATTCATGGAAAATGTTCAAAACGAACATTTCCATAGTGGGCATTTTTCATAAAGAAATCGATATATCATTTAAGGAGTATTTTTATGCATGTACTCTTATAATATTCTAAAACATGAATTGCCGTTCTTCCTTTTTTTTGTTTTACCATCCTAACTAAAATTCGAATTCGTGTCGAGAAATCCAACGAAGCACTCCGTAACATCATTCTTCCATCTGCTTCAATAGAAACTATTGAAACATTGACACAGCCCAAGGCCTGGTATCGAAGACTAGGATTCAATGCTCGTAAGAGTAGATATGTGACACCTCAACTTAAGATTAGAAGTCTTACATCGACAAAACATAAGAGAGATGTTGGATATATAAGTAAGTAGACCTTACCAACTAGTGACACGCTTTGAAAACCATACAGGTCTAGGCCCAAAGCGGACAATATCATCGTTACAAATGGTATCAAAGCCAAGTCACATTCAGATAGCATTTGTTCTACTCATTAATGCAAAATATTCAAATTCTTGAGAAAATATATTTTCAAAACATGTTCACATTATTTTAAAGAAATGGTACTTCTCAAGGAAAAGTTTTTTCTTCCATTCGCTAATCGCTAACAAATCTTTCAAGAAAGAACTACAAATATCCAAACATGTTTTCCTTTTGCATAAATTTCCTTGTCAGAATATGTGCCAAAAAATTCACAAACTTTGGCTGCTTTTTATAATTTGTATTGCCAGCAATGGTGAAGCTAACTTAAGGCTTCTCCCTGTGTATTTTCTATACAAGAAAACTGATTGTCTTATTTTCCTATTCCAAAGAATCCTCTTTGAGCTTACTCCCTTGCTAACCCAATTGATATTTCCTCTTATGATACAGATAAACAGACTGCTCCTACGACTTATTTCTTGATTGAAGATCATCACATCAACTACTCATCATGAATCTTCCAATTGTCCTTCGATAATGTACTTAATCCACTTGCAGTCCTCATCTTATTAATAACTTGTTAAATTTTCACTGTTATGACCTTTAACACACTTCTGTTACAAAGTTTTCCACTGTCCCAATACCAAAAACTATTGCAGAAGCAGATGTTAATCCTAGTTGCCAAGTTAAGTTTAAGATGGTTGTTCGACAATATAGGTAAAGAAATAGTTCCTATATCACATGGTAATATTACAATCAGATATTCTTGGGTGTTAACAGTTAAAATGGAACCAAATGATATTACTTATAGCTTTAAAGGTCGACTGATCGCTAAGGGTATACTCAAAATATACAACTCTGATTGCAGTAATACTTTTTTCTCAGGTGGCCAAAATTGCATCTTGTTTGCCTCCTGGTCCTCATGAGACTCATGTTTCATCGTTCTCAAAATCAGTAGGACAAGTTCCTTCATCCAGTGACTTTCAGAAGATGCCTATTGGAGCAACTACTAGGTTTTGTTGGTCAAAAGGGTGTTCTGGTTTAGTGTCTCGGCTACAGCAATCCTTAACAATCTCTAAGGATATGATTTTGTCATTTTTGTTTCATGGCCCAATAATTTGACATGCTCGAGGGGAAGCAGATCATTCCATGGTTTACAAGCATTCTTCTCATGCTAACATATTGTCTTTAAGATTTTATTTTTTCGATAACCTATTGTCTTAGATTTCTATATTGATGATATCAACTAATAAGAGATAATCATGAAGACATTCCTTACCTAAAGAGCATCTCACCATACATATTCAAACTAAAGACCTGAAAACACTTTAGTACTTCTTAGGTATTAAGGTAGCACAATCTAACTATGATACGGTCACTTTGCAAAAGGACTAGGCATTGGATATACTGGAAAATACTAGTACAGTGGATTGTAAACATACAAATAATCTATAGACTAGAATCATGTTCATTGAGAAAGGGAGCCTCTAAAACACCCCGGTCAGTAATAACTACTTGTTGACGAATTCATTTGTCCTATAATCACACAACTTGATATCTCTTTTTCTATTACAATAGCTCATCAACTCTTCTAACTCTCTGTGAGACTGAGAGTCATTTGAAATGCGATGATTCACATTTTTAGATATATCAAAGAATCTCCGGAACAAAATATATTGTATCAAGACAGGAAAAATGCATATAGGTGATTTGGAGCAAATGGGATGAGTCTCCTTCTAAGAGATGATCAACTTAAGGCTATGTATTTTAATTGGAATTGATCTAATATCTTTTGAAAGAAAGAAATAAGATGTGATGATCAAATGATCAGCAGAAGAAAATATGAATGAAGAAGCAAAGTATCAAGTGGCTCTAGCAGGTTATAGTTTAAAGAGCTTCTGCACGAGATGAAATGTAATAGAGATGAATATATGAAACTGATTTGTGATAATCAAACAGGTCTACATATCACTTCCAATTCTACATTTCAAGAAAGAGTGAAACACTAACATAAATGTAGCCAACATTTTAGACAAAAATTGAGTCGGATGTGTTGCTACCAATTTTACCCACTGAAATGACCAACTAGTAGTCTAGTAGATATCCTTATATAATCTTTTTGATGTCCCATAATTGATTATATAAGTAGGACAATATAAATATTTTCACTTCAACTTGAGGTTAGTCAAAAGGATTTGTAACAAACGTGTTAATATGTGAGGATTTGTAAGCACTGTATCAGTTTTATGAAATCATGGTTTAGTTTAGTAGATATTATTATGAATGACCTTGAAAGATTCTGTTCAATATTTATTTTTTCCTCATTTAGACCCAATGTGAACACTAAATAAATTCCAAAATGCACAAGATTACTTCTAAACAAAGTAGAAAACTAAATTACTACAATTTATCAAATGGGAATTTCCATTGTACAATCAACGATGTTTATCAAATGTGTAGAGAACAAGCAGATAGAATTCATACTTCATACTGGTTCTTAACAAAAGTACCTAATACATGAAGCAAGAGCTGATTATTTGTTGAGGAAGCCTCCTACCAAGCAAATTCACTGTGCTAGTGAATTCCAAAACTAGAAGAAGCTAAACATGTTGTAGAAATACACTTCCAACAGGAGTCAAAGGCAATGCTGATACTTTGTTGATATTTGGGAATTGTTTCTACCCAAACCGCGTTAGAGTTAGCACAAAACACGATGGAATGAAAATGACAAGCATTGGCAAGGTGATAATTGGGTAGAGAGAATAACTGGGAAACTATACCTTATTCATTTAAAGGCCATCAATTCAATCTTCTTCTTCTAGATTCACGGAGATCTACATCAGAAAGCCTTGACAAAATGTTTCTTCTCCTGGAAGCCAAGGAAGATCGTATGGCAGGCAGATCACCAGTATCAGTTGTAAGGTTTTCCAACTGAACAGCAGCGACAGAAACTTCATTTGCTTGAGAAGATGATGGGACAGATGCAGTGGAACCTGTCCTTGCAACTGCATCCAGAGTTTGATAACTTGACTGTATGAGAGCAGCATCTCTTCTGAAAGAATCACCGTCACCTGTTGCTCCATGAACAGCTGGTATAACATCAACATTACTTCTTTGGAGAAGCCGATCACTGAATGATGCTGCAAGGCCCTCAAACATCCGTTGTGCATTATCTAACTCTGATGAAAGGGACGCAGCACCTTCTGACAGCACCCTAGAAAAAAGACGGGAACGTAGTCTCCTACTGCTTAAGGTATCAGCAGTTTGCAACACATGAGAGTTGCTACCAAAACTCAAATTAACTCCACCGCTGTCCTGTTGCTGCGGGTGGTTCCCAAATCCAATACTAGTCCTAATTCTTCTTAGTGCTTCTGCAACCGGTATGTGAGATAAACCCTGAGTTGCACGCTGCTGTCTAACACTCTCTATTCGACGTGCCTTTGGCCGTGGTGGTATTTTCAGACCAGACTCCAGTTCTGTTATGCTTTCACCATCTCCATTACCATAAATTGGAGTAACATTTGCATCTGCAACCTCTCCCTTGCAGACAGGACATTCCTTTGTAGTTGAATCAACATAAGGTAACTGATAAAAGCATGGCCAGCAAAATAAGTGTCCACAACAGGTCAAGATAGGTTCTTTCGCCATATCCAAGCATATATTACAGTCGAAAAAACTCCCACTATCATCATCTACCTTATTAACCACTAAATCCATCTCTAATGCCTTTGCTACCAAATGGGAACTATCCCTTTTGCATCCTTTTCCCCTCTCAACAGTTCTTTCCACCATATCCGAATTGCTCACCCTATTCTGACCTTGCATCTCACTATCCACATTGACTACAGGGTCAACCGAAATATTACCAGTATCAATAGTACTCCGAGCCTGACGCCACCTATGGCGCTGCAAAGCTCTAGCAGTAACAGCCTCAAGCTGCCTAATTCTCTCCTCTATCCTACTATGAGCAGATTCTAAATCACTCAACAAAGACCCTAATCCTAAAGCTGAACCAGAAGATGGGTCCAAAGGTTCTTGGTTCAAATCCAGATCCATCACAATATCATCCATCAAATTATCAGACATGCAGTTTAATCCTACTAATACCACTTAATTCCCAATATACCCTTTATCCAGAACAACAAAGCAGACCTAGATTTTGCCTAAAGAAAACACAAAAAAAGTCAAGTCCTAAATCATAAAACAGGGCTTAAAGGGACCCCAAAAAAAGAGGGCAAGATAAATGAAAAACCCAATTCAAGAATTGATTAAAAACCTGCAAGAAAGATGAAATTCAAGCATCTGAATGAAGAAAATCCATGGTTTTCTTGATACATCCGCCATCCAGTGGTACGAAGGGGATACCTTTAAGACTGTAAAGAAAGAAAAAGAAATGGCATTATACCATCAGGGTATCCGAGGAAGAAGAAAGAAAGAAATGGAGAAAGCGCCGGCCCGCGCCTCACAAAGAAGAAAAGGAAAGGTCATGGGTTTGGCGCACCTTTGGGTTAGTGGAAATAAAGCATCGTTAAAATAATTAACCGCAAAAATATTGTCCTAAAATAACAAGAGCTGGAACCGCGTTAGGAGAAACCTTAGTAATAATTTATTTAAGTTTATTATTTTTTTTATTTGTCAAATTTTAATTTAGCGTACATATTAAAAGATAATGATTGAAATAATAAATTTATTATTTTGCCCCTATAATTGATATAGTCTTAATTATATTTACTCACTATTCCCTCTGTTCATTTTTACTTGCCATTATTTAACTTGACACATCCATTAAGAAAATAATTATTGATGTAGATATTTTATCATACCATCTCTATTAATTATGTAAAAGTATTGGATCTTTAACAATAATATGGAGAATAGTATTTAATGTTAAGGATAAAATATGAAAAAAATAATAATTGTCTTTTCTTGTTATATCAAAGTGACAAATAAAAATAAAAATTTATTTTAGGAATAAGTAACAAGTAAAAGTGAACGGAAGGAGTATATTTTTCAAAAATATTAACTCAGTGATAATAAATATGATATAATAAGAAGAAAAAAGTTGTTCTTCCTTGATTTGTTAAAAATAACAAGTAAATGAGAAATTAAATTAAAAAATATTTGACAAGTAAATAGAAACGGAAAGAGTATTACATTACCGTCTACCTACTTGAGGCCCTAAAGTGTAGCAGTACGAAGAAATTTGAATTAAAAAAATGAATTGTAACCTAAGTTGCTCGTTTCAAAATTACTTTCTTTAACACTTATATTTTATTTTAATTAAAATAAAGGATTAAAATTTTGTTAACAAAACATTCTACGCCTTAAGACACACGTGCACTGGGCAACCTCACAATTTAAAGAGCTTTAATTTTTCATTCTCTAGACAAAAAGGAAAACAATAATAGTAGCAAAAACAATACATAATAATACTTAAATGATTAATTGGATGCAGGGGAGACAAAGTGGGCGGACCAAAGCTTCAAATATTGATTTGGGCTAACAATAGCAGCCCGTGTTTACCTATCTAATTGAAATTGTTACGTAATTTAAATGGACCCATAAAACATATTATTTATTCAATTTTGAATATATAGATTGAATTGAGCGCATTATGTGACACAAGAATAAGATCATATCCTACCCACAATGTCAAGCTTGCAAGCAGAAAATTTTGAGACTGGTCATTGTATTTCAAATTTTGGATGGCTGATTGAAATATACACTAGTTCCTTATTATTATTTTTTTTTCCTAATTTGTGTCATTTAGAGTTTTAAGCCTTTCATATTATAATTAACTGTGTGTTCTTTTTCACCAAGAGAATGTGTTGAATGAGTCAAATTAATCAGAAAGTCAAACAATTGTGATAGAATAAGAGATCAAATTGGAATTATACGATTAGCACGAATAATTGGAATAATTGTGAAACTAAGTAATTACCCTAATAATCACGGGATCTTTATGATTTGTTTCTCACATTTGAAGTTATTATACTCCCTCCGTCCCTATTTAGTTGTCCATATTTCTTCTTTTAGTTGTCCCTATTTAGTTGTCCATTTTGACAAATCAAGAAAAGACAACAAATATTTTACTATTATTCCCTTATTTATATAAAGTTGT